CAGAAACGGATAACGTCATAGTGTCACATGTTACAGGCTTACACATCAAAACTTATAAAGACATAAATTGCAAGACAAAGAACGTAATATACTGTTTAACATGCAATGGATGTGGAATACAGTATGTTGGTATGACTATAAGGAAACTGAAAGAAAGAATCGGAGAACATGTTACCAACACCTACACGCAAAAGATTACATGCGCCCTTGTACAATCATTTTAAAAAAATGTACTAAGGTTTTTCTCTGTACAAGAGCCTGACTGCTCATCAGAAGGAACAGATGACTCAAACACACCTCTGAAAAGAAATGTTTTGCTAAAACGCTCGACTGCCATATCCTTTTTGGGTTGAATGATAACATTAAAGGTTATGGAAATATCACAAATGTGGACAACCCTCTCCTGTACAAAGGCAATCATCCGTTTTTTCTTACGGATTACAGATCTCACGCAAGCAAAGAATTAATAGAGGAAAGAGAACCAGCAGATACAAGGAAGGAATCACATATAATAGCGTCATAAAAGAAATCACCAACAGTACAGAAACATTGAAGCCTATCAATACTTCAGACTACTTAAAAGCCTTCGTAAGGAAGAAATCAACAAGATCATTAAACTCTCGATGTCTGTGAATTTTCTACAGACCGTAAACAACAAAACAAAATATTTGATATTTTGCTTGTTAGCTTACTTTCACCATGGTTCAAGTCCATCGAAGAAAAACCCAGAAAGAATTTTCATAACATTGAAGTCAGCTTCAGAAGCAGAATATTCAACGAGATACACTTCAACAGAATTTTTAATTCACGTACTGTCAAAGAAATATTGCTTAATGGGAATGATTGTAACTTCACAAACCCCTAGGGGCCTCAACAATTCTCAGCCTAAGATTTCATGGTGTTGCAGAGAGAAGGCGAATTGGACCGGATAGTTCAAAGCAATCTGCCGGGCTGGCCCTTCTTCTTCCAACCGGAATCCGTCACGCCCTGCTCTTCAGTCTTTGGCACGTTCGACGATCTGGTGTGTTGTAGTAGACCGTGGTGCTGAGGTTTGTGTGCAGCAGCTTTTGTTGGCGGGCCTGCAGAAAATTTATAAGTATAATAACACAATGGCGACCAGAATATGCAATTATAACAAATTGTTAAAGAATCTCGACAACGAAAAATTGAAGCGGATAATCACTAGTGACTGTATCTGTGATTCTGAAGATGTGCAGAAATATATTGACAGCAAGCATGGGCACATTATTACAGGCAATATGAATCTAATAAAAGAAAGAAAGTTCAGGAAACTTATGATGAAAGGAACGAAATATAGGATAGACACAGGAATAACAAGGAAAGAAGTCAAAACGATTTATGAGGCTACACTTAATAAAGTTGTCAATTATTTTAAGTACAAATATAAACTTAACAGTCACAAAGTTAACCTACTTCAACAGCATCTACGTTCGTGTTACCATAGTAAAGTCAAACCGCTGCTCACTAGGAATAATATCATCAGTATAGGAGAGCAAGTACCTTACGACTTGATCAAACAATATCAGGACAACTATATTTTTTGCCCTCTGGACAAAGCTAGTAACAACTACGGAATTATATGTAAAAAATTCTACTTAGTCAACTTGATGAAGGAAATGGGAATAAGCTATGACGCTGCTAATGGCACATTCGCATATGGAGACAGTAACAACACGTATGAATTTGTGAGGTCGGGTAACAAATATCCGATGATACTGAAGCACAAGTTCTTCTGTGTAAGGAACAATCTCAATATAGAAGTTGATTCAGATCTACCAACTATATATGCTCTGCCTAAACTGCATAAGGATCCGATCAAGTTCAGATATATTACTGGCGCACATAGCAGTAGCATCAAACCTCTAGCCAAAGAACTACATGTTATTTTCAAACATTTCAAAAACCATTTCATAAACTATGCAAAAGTGATGCAAAACCGAAACAGAACGATTAAGACTTACTGGTCGATAGACAACATCAATATAAGTCAGGAGCTGACTAATATTGCCTACGGCAATGTTAAAATATATACTGCCGATTTCACTGACATGTTTACAAACTTGGAACATAGCCTCATTATCAGGAATATGCAACAGCTTATGAGCATCTGCTTCAAAAATGCCAATAAGGCGTTCATTGCTAGTAATGGTTACCATGTTTTTTACTCAGACGGTAGAGCAAATAAAAGCAACTACAGATACTACAAAGCTACCGACTTAATATATCTTATCGATTACTTATTGCGCAACAGTTTTTGTATTTTTGCTGGTAACATATTCAATCAGACTAAAGGTGTTCCACAAGGAGGCAACTTCAGCCCGCTGTTGGCAGACCTTACGCTGTCAATCATGGAATACAATTATGCAAAGTGCAATAGATTCAATGCTAGTAAATTGCTCATTCCATATAGATATATGGATGATCTCCTAGTCATACATAACCAGTCTGAAATGAAGTCGATGAACAACTCGCTGAGGTCTATAGAAATACCCTCCAGTTGAAGAAGACACACACAACTGAGCTATACAGTAATTATTTGGACTTAACCATCAATATAGTAAACGGCCAAATTACTACTGGTTTATATAATAAAACAGATGACTTTAACTTTAAAGTGATTAGATTCCCACACAGTGATTCAAATATCTCCACTAACAACAAGGCTTCCGTTATATACACAGAAACCCTTAGGATAGCCAACACCTGTACTTGTTTTGATACGTTTATAAGAAGGATATCGGATATGGTAAGAATGCTTTATAGCAATGGTTACAGTGAGGACTTCATTATAGCTAGTATAGTGAAGAGTATTTATAGAAATAAACTTATATGTTACAAATACTCTATTATGAATGATTACGGTAGCATAAGCAGATTAGTCCGAGGTATTCTCAGTGGCTTTTTCGTTTAAATTGGTGTCTATGTAACACATTTTTTACCTGCATGTGTCGTGTAGTATTTTCGGATATTATAATGTAACATCAACTGATAGTTTTTCGTAATTACGACGTCCTACTCACGTTATCCAATCAATTAGCATTCTTAAACCTCTCAGTCTTTATCGTTTTCAACTTTATACCTTATAAACTTGCTGCAATTGATTTTTCTTCCTTTCCTTACTGAAGAGCACGGAAGGAGGAATATGCTTTTGCTCGGCTTCCGTCTAAGGGCACGTGCGAAACGGAAGCTGAGCTATCTCTTTGCTTTCGACCCCCTCAATAATTCTCATTTATTAGATTTTACAACATAGTTCATTAATCTCAGTTTCAAAGATTTTATTTGAACCCTTGCCTTCAGAACGTAATGCTCCATAACGTGTGCCATCGACCTACAGCTTCGGAAAAAAAAACCGGACAAGGCAAGAATCGCGTTCTCTGCAACAGTTCTGAAGCTCTTATTCAATAGCAATACAGTGGAAAGTTGAGCACGTAGAGGGAATTCGGAGAGGAAAAACAATTCGGAGCTCTTGATTCGGCTTGCATACTAATGGAGTTGATTAGAGCCTTCGACAACCGTGGAATCAGCTCCATGGAAGCTTCAGGGGAATCCACGGATATTCGATTCTAAGTTCTCTGAAATGCATGAAAGCGCTCATTCGTGTCTCGTGAAATCTTCTTTCTCTTTGACTTCATACTTCAAGTTCATCTCAGCAGGTGAGCTGATGGGGTTGAGGGTGAGAGGCTTTTACTGGTACATCTTTCGTCATTCGATTTCAGCTTTGCTTCGCCTTTGCGGTTCGCTTGGACCTTCACCGTATTCTGGGTTTGCTTAGAGACTTTTAGTGATGATTTGAAGACAGTTTCTCCGAGCACACTTTATCTGTAACCACCACATTTCGATACACAAGTCAAGGAAAATCAATAGTTTGACAGAAAACTCCAATTTTTAGCCTGTTCCACTTTTTTTCACGGCTGTATGTTCATGCGCCATCGACCTATATTCAGACTCGTAGTTGCTTCTAGAGGTATACTACTCTATGAATTTTTTGACCTAGCTGAGGTGCTGCTCGTAGTATCCAGAGAAGCAGTCCAGAGCGAGTTCTGTACCCTTAACCAGTTCCTTAGAGAATTTCTTTTCGACAACTCTACATAGGTACAGTCGCAATCCCTCAGACGAGGTAGGCGGAATTGCGGACTTCACTGGGACGCGACGGCGGCTGTAATAGGGGTGGCGGCCGTTGCTGCATGGGGCAGCAATCACCGTGCTCTTTGCTCTCTGCGCCCCCTCTCCGCGAAACCGCGCCTCTCTGCGTACTCTTCTTCTCTGGGCTCTGCCCGCAATAGCCGGCTGCACCGCGCAATCAGCTGATTCAGCGATTTATTTTTCTATTTTGCCTGTTATTCTGCTAACTAGACGCCAAAAGGAGAGGTGAGTTCATATTATTTACTCTAATTTAAGGTTTTATTGTATATTTCGCTTTTAGTCGCTATTTGACTGTTGTAACGGTGTTTTTGCCCACTTTTTGATTTTGTTTAGGTTTTCTCTGTTTGTTCTTTGAATGTTGGACCTGCTCTCCATGGCAGTGTCGTGATGTGTCCTTATTAGTGCCAAGGACACTCTCTGACACTGTTTTGGTAGATGCGGTCTTTCTGAAATGCCACTTTCCCTATTTTTTTGCCGCTGTGGCCTAATTTCTGTCGCCCTGTGAAGTTTGCTCTTTCGTTTTTCTTGTTCCTTTTTTTATTTGACTCATTCTTCATTACAGGGTCTTTGTTGTGTTCTTTTTATGATGAGAACACACTTTGACTCTGTTTTGAGGATTGATGTCGCTTTTGAATTCGTTGTTTCACAGGTCTCGCCCCATGCGCCGCTGTTTTCTTGGAGCTGTAAGTTTTCTCGCTTGTTTTTCATTATTTCTTTTTTCGTTCAACTCATTCTTTATTTCAGAGTCTTTGTAGTGTTCATTTTTATGATAAAAACACTCATTGACTCTGTTTTAAAGCATGTAGTCGCTTTTGAATGCGTTCTTTCTCAGGTATATGCTCCTTTTATTCCACACACCGGCTGCAGCCGTCTTCCGTTGTCGGTATCCAAGGTAATGCGACATTTTTCGAAGTTTCTCTGGGCTTACTCTCTTTTTTTGCGTCAGTGACGTGACTATTTTCGTAACAAGTTTTTTCAGAGGTTGCACCTAGTTGCGTTTCCACCTCTCGCCTTCATGCTAGATACCTACTCTACTTGCCGTTTTGCATGTGCTTCTACGTCGCCTATCACATCTTTTTGTTTATGTTGCAAATGTCTTTACTAACATCTTTATTTTAAATGATTAGTTCGTGTTTAGTGTGTCTCTCCTGATGTTAATGCCAAACCTAATTTATTCAGTTGTCACTAACAAACTACATTTCTGGTATTCTCACAAAGATTTCATAGGAACACTTCATTTTATTGTCATGCACCTATGCTTGTTATTAGTAAAAAGAATAACATCATATGGCGTTGGATGAAACTCCTCGAATTATTTGCTGCCATTTTTAGCTTTCATGTGAAGGGAGCCTACGTATGGAGATAGTGGTGTGAAGAATAGTTATGTGACAAATCACACGATATAGATCCCTGACATGAATGCAAGCGGCTAGATGTGCCGATTTCACCGCAGAACTTTTCAGCTGTGTTTTAGGAATGCAACGCGGCTTTGAATTACATTTCAATGTTCTGTTTTCCGTTTTCGTCACGATATCAAAATGGCTCGCTTAAATGTGAGGACTCTACCGCTTTCATTTTTGCCAACGAATTCACTCCAACATTCGTGACGGTAAACCAAGCTGTCGTAATATTATCTATATAAGGGCTGCCAGGAGCCAGTCGGTGTGCTTCTCTCCCTCCGGGAGGAGAGAACCACCGGGCACCCGCTCTGCCGCCATGATGCCGGACGGTTGGCAGGGTGCTTGCACTCTGCACAGCAGTGTGGTCGGGCACACTGCTCCGTCTGGCGGAGCTCTGGCTCTGGCCCGTGCCTGCTATGACCCGAAGGCACGGCCGGCTGCGGGTTGCAGCTTGTAGCCGCAGGGCGCCATTACCGCTAGGATTATCGCTGGACAGTTGGAAGATGGATGGTCAATCCAGGTAGGCAGGATATGAGGACAGATTGGAGGGTTACCGCGTGAATTAATAAATATGAAGTGTTATGTATGTCGTAATGTTTATAATAGGTGGGACATGGAAGCAACGGGCAGGTGGGTCCGCAAGGTGCTGGTAAGGCTCAGGAGGGGGGGGGGGGTTTGATCGGTTATAAGTGTAGGTTGTTGGTTGTTATGTTTCTGTTATTCGGCTGTTACATGCCTCAGGGCCAGGTGAGCCAGGTAGGCATGTAACTGGACCGGTTACGGCAGGCTGTAACAGTGGTAGGGGCCGGCCGACCCGGGGGTCCAGGACGGACATGGGGGAGGTCGGACCCACCACGGGGACATGCCTGTGCATGGGCTGCCGTCCCCTGCAGCCTGCCACGGGCTTAAGCCCGGGTGGTCCCCCGGGGAACGGGGCTATACCGTGCGGGAAAGCGGTATCCCTTAAACCACCGATTCGTCGTGGAGAGGATTAGTAGGGAGGTCTCTACTTCAACTGCGACAACAACACTTCATCACATAATCACCTTTTCGTGAACATGAGAGCAGGGTCAGATGGAGACGAATGGGCGAAGATGCTGCTAGAGATCGGTAAAGGAAGATATAACCAGGACAAAAACGGTTTCATCCAGCCACCTTCACAATTCTACAGCACAGGAGATCCGATTACCTATATCTTCGCCGAAACCATCACAGTTGAAGACGAATTAGCGCAAAAAGCTATCTTTGCTCCTAAGAACATGCAGTGGCGCATGTGAAGAATTTAGCACCGCAGCGGATGTCACAGCACTCGAAAATGAAGGTATACAAAAGCGCTATGAGGTAGAGAACGCGGATCCTGCAGACGCCTTCACTTACCAAGAAGAGCATCTTAAAAAGCTACTGCCAAGTGGAATGCCGCCGCATGAGCTCAAGTTGAAGAAGGGCTGCATTGTCATGCTGCTTCGCAATCTAGACGTATCAAACGGCCTGTGTAATTACACAACGCTAATTGTTGATCACAGTAGACAGTACGCTCTTGGATGCAGGTTCGCGACTGGGGACAGGTATAAATTAGTTTGTCCTCATTTATCGTCTAGACAACTACACGGATAAATAGATTCCATTTCGACTTCGAAGGCGACAATTTCCAATTCGTCTCGCACTCGCTACTACTATAAACAAAGCCCAGAGTCAAACGATAGCAAATGTAGGAGAGTATCTTCCCGACGAAGTACTCTTTTATGGACAGTTTACCTAGCTCTGTCAAGAGCTAGAAACAAAGAATCAGTGAAGATTATGCCGTCAAGGCTGAAACTCGGAAATTTCGTCTACAGAAATGTTCTGTGAAATGAGGAGAATTGACTAACAACGCTACATTCAAGAATGCTGAGTTATGGGCAAAAGTCGGACCACGGACGGGATTCGAACCCGCATCTTCTGCTTACCGGGCAGTTGCGTTCCCTATTACGCTACCGAGGCCACTTTTGACCACTCAGCTCAATGGCTATTTGTGCCATAGCCTTACAGCACTCACACGTTCAACGTGATGAGCCGGTTAGCCGATATCGGCAGTGAACCGCAAGGCTGAAGGCTTTTTTTACAAGTCGGCTCATCACGTTGAACGTGAGTGAGTGTCCGTAAGTATGGCACAATAAGCCATTAGTACAGTGGTCAAAAGTGGCCTCGGATAAGGCGCTAATAGGGAAAACAACTGCCCCGGTTAAGAAGAAGATGCGGGGTTCGAAACTCCCGTGGCGCCACTTTTGTCATAAACTTCAGCAACTTGTTGATAGCTTTCGTATACGCGTACGCGGACGTATAAACAGTATTACAAACAATAACACCTTGCTACATTCAATGGTACTATTAATTAAATCGCTATTCCCCGATGGTGGCTATTGAGACCACCAGAAACCCTTATAACAATTTACATTGTTCTGTGTATGGAAATCCCTGTATCACTCAGCTCATAAATGTCGTACCTCCACCCTCATAAACAGGCCCTCTTCCTCCAATACAGTTGGTAACCTCTGACGATGGCTTATTTCGATCAGCAGAAGAATCCTCTTCTTTCTTCGTTTCAGTTAGCATCCAGTATTTCTCAGCTCCAAATGTCATAGTCGCTAGACCCCTCGATAACAGGTTCTTTCGTAAAACAGGGTGGTAGTTCCTCTGACGATGTGCTATTCTGATCAGCAGAATGCCTCTTCTGGTTCTGTTTCAGTAGCATCCCGAGATTCTCAGGGCCTCCCAAATGTTTAGGCTCTGACCCTCATGAACATGGTTCTTCTCAAAAACAGGGTGGTATCCTCTGGACGAAATCGTATTCTATGGGACCACAAAATAAATCTCTTTCAGCAGTTAACTGTTCTTTTCAGTAAAATCCCAGGCATTCTCAGCTCTCAGAATATCGTAGCTCCTGACCCTCATAAACAGGTCCTTCGTCAAATGCAGGTTGGTATCCTCTGACGATGGCTATTATGGACCACAAAAAAATCCTTTTCCAGCAAGCTACTGTTCTTTTCAGTGGAAATCCCAGCATTTCTCAGCTCTCAAATATCGTAGCTCCTGACCCTCATAAACAGGTCCTTCGTCAAATGCAGGTTGGTATCCTCTGACGATGGCTATTTTGGACCACCAGAAAATCCTTTTCCAGCAACCATTGTTTTTTATAGCAGAAATCCGAACACTTTTCAGCTCAATTTCGTGCCTCCGAACTATCACAGACACTCGCTCCTTTCTCAAATGCACGGGTATCCTCTGACGATGGCTATTTCCCATCAGCAAAAATTCTCTTTCAGCAAGAATTGTTCCTTTCAGTGAAAATCCCAGTATTTCTCAGCTCCCAAATGTCGTAGCTCCTGACCCTCATAAACAGGTCCTTCGTCAAATGCAGGTTGGTATCCTCTGACGATGGCTATTTTGGACCACCAGAAAATCCTTTTCCAGCAACCATTGTTCTTTATAGCAGAAATCCGAAGCACTTTCCAGCTCAATTTCGTGCCTCCGACCTATCACAAACACTCGCTTCTTTTCAAATGCAGGTTGGTATCCTCTGACGATGGCTATATTGGACCACCAGAAAATATATTTTCAGCAATTATTGTTCTTTCCAGCAAAAATCCGAGCACTTTCCAGCTCAATTTCGTGCCTCGACCTATCACAAACACTCGCTTCTTTGGCAACCCGTGACGATGGCTATTTTGGAGCACAAGAAAAT